AACATGCCAGTAGGACTAAAATACATTAAAAAAGCCAACCTTCTCCTCGTGCGAGGCGGTGTGCGGCGCCACATGGGAGGCGGAGGAGGCATTCGGCGCGGAGGTGACGGTCTTCTCGGGACAGGTCGTATCCTCTGGGCCAGGACAGCCGTGGCTGTGATTTCCTGACCGTCGATCTGACCTGAGGACAGAAAGAGAGTTAGAAATCCCATCTAGTGAACTGACTCATTGAATACTAACGTGTTTTATTATAGCATTTAGTTTAATTAGTTTTTTTTTTTTCTGATTTAATTTTCATGTCTAAAGTTTTGGTAATTTTGTTTTGTATTTGATGTGTTGTTTTAAATGTCTATTAACAGGGTTTCTGAAGGTACATTGAAGACATTTTAAAGACCTTTTTAAGACCAATTAAAGAAAATTCAAGGACAAAATTAAAGGGAAATATATCAATGTTTTGTAAACGTAAATGTCAAAGGATAAAACAATCAGTTATATTAGCAACACTTCAAAGTCCAACCAATCTTCATTACTTTTTAAAGGTGGGGTAAGCGATTTCTGGTAGTCACTGTTGACATTTGAAATCACCAAAACAAACACACCCCTACCCCAAAAGGGTCTCACCCCTATTTTGATAGCTCCGCCCCACACATACGTACGCAACCCAGGCAACGATTAGTTCTGTGAAACAAAGCAAAACCAATGTTACACCGTGTCTACACCGGACGCGAGCGGCGCGACAAAATACTATAGAACTCATTATAATCAGTGATGCTGTCTACACCATAGATATATATACATATCTATGGTCTACACTGGATGCGGCACGGCACGACACGATAAATCCCCGACATAAAACTGCTGCTGCGTTCTATTCATGACGTATTGACACAAATTTCTAATGATTTTCAACGGTCGCAACGGTCCAGTACTAGACAGACTTTAGCTGTTGCGGCGCAGACACTGTGTTACTCACCTATCGAGAAGAAACAAAGCAACCTCG